ATGTGTTGGTCTCCGTGGCGACTGGGGCATCCTTGTACCAGAGCTTGTGATAGGTTGTTCTGTAGAGAAGGCCTCCATTGCGTTGCCCTCGACTAAAACAATAGCGGAAATGCTCAAATAAACAGCGGCCCATTGTGAACAAAACTACTTATCAAAGACCCACTTTTCATTAAATTAATAATTAATAATAAATAAAAAATAAAAATTAATAATAATAATAGGCAATAACAATTTTCTGAAGAGCTGGAAAAGAAATTTTTTAAACAGCTACAAACCTCAATGTTTTAAGGTCAAAAAAGGTTAAAATGAGAAGAAATAAATAATTTGTATTTCATCTTTAAAAGGTGAATTATATTGAAAAAGGCAGCTGTAGAGGAACTTGAAACAATTTAAAAACATTTAATGGAACAAATTAAAAAAAATATGGTTTGTGTTTCAGGGTTGGAAAAAGAAGAAATATACAGACCAAAAGGGAGAACATTTCACTGAGAATATTGAATGAGATCAGAAAATACAAATTGTAAGGAGACATTTAACTTCCGATCTGCAGAGATTGATAATACATTTGTAAGGTGGAGAGAAAAGGGAATAACAACTGTATGTACACTCAGAGGGGAAGACTTTTGAAAAACTCAAAGGAGAATTTAATTTTAGAAAATGGGGATCTGTTCAGATATTTACAGCTGAGACATTTCTGATACAGAAAGAAAAAGAATTTCAGCAGTATGTAGTGAAGTGATTGTAGCGTTGACAGTTGCATACAAACGAAGCCCTTCAAAGATTGTTTATAAACTGCCCAGTGGATTACAAAAAGGAAATGGAAGAAATTCATTATAAGTAAAACTGAAATGGGAACTGTAATTGAACATTAAACTGTAGAAGAGTGAGCAGAATGCAACAAGCTCTAAAAGATGGAGGGAATTCAGATGGAAGAATTTAATCTGCTTATAACACCCCACGTAAAGAAATATCAACAATTGTGTGGGGAGATGAATGCCAATCACTTACATGTTTTCGGGTCAAGTATAAGAATACAAACATTCTGGGACAGTTATTCAGAGCCATCAGGAGATTTTATGTTACAAGACTCCCAGTGACTCTCAGATTGTGTACCTGGGATTAATACCTGGTGGCATAATTCAGAAGAAGGACATCTGTCTCCAAAATCCTGCTGAACATTGTAGAGGGAACAAAGGCTACTCCAAAAACTGACTCACTATGTTAAGGACTAAAGAAGGGACCCATGAACAGTGCTTTTAAGTTTATAAATACTTAAAAGTAAATAAAAGGTGTTATAGTAGCAGCTATAAACTGAACTATAAACTTTCAGTTATATTGTTCTTTACTGTACTGTTTTACTGGGAGTAATATTAATAGTTTGTTTTTTCTATTCTTCAATCCTAAATTGTTTGTGTTTCAAATGTAAATAAATATTTTAATTAGATCTGAGAATCTGTCTGGTTTACTAATGAAACCAGTATTTTATATTTTTCTAATCCTGTGTGTTTTATGCTTAAAAACAGCTATATAGGGCTACAACATTGATTGATTCATTTTCCAAGTAGACCAACCTTTATGTGCCTTTTTAGTTGGGAATGACCTTTATTTTGGCTACCACTTGTACCACTCTTCCCTTCAGACAGACAACAACATATTACAACTTTCTCAGTCATCGTGTCAGATAACTAAATGGATGGCGGGACAGTTTGTGAGCGCATGTGGAGAGTCTGAGGTGGATCTACGTATGTGCGTTTGACAAGGTTTCCTGGATCTTACAGCTGGGTGTCTGGGAATCTGCTGGCCTCTGGGTGGAGTCAGACGCCCCCAAACTCTCCTCCGTCTCTGTGCCTGGGTCTGTTACATCAGCCCCCTGAGAATAGAGGGAACAAAAGGAATTAATAAAAATAAATACCATGAGTACAATCTTAAAAAGTTAAAGTGAGAAAAATAGGAAATGTGAAGATGAGGAGTAAAGGGAAACAGGAGTTGGGTAGAATGAGAGGAAGCAGCTTATGGGATGGTTCCCACACAGTACAGACGGCAGAGCACCATATACACATCATAATTAATTCTCTTTCTATATGGAAGAAAGCAACATTCAGAAAAGGCCAAAAGTTCTGGGTTGAGTACTTCCATATATATTAGTTTTAAATGCTGAGGACCCATTATAGAACCCACATAAACAGTAGGTGAACTAAACACACAGATCAGCTTTTTTTGATGCTGCTTCTTAACATTTTAAAGCTAACGGGAAAAACTCTGTATTGGGAATCATCAGCTGTAAACCACTATAGATATTTCATCTCCCTTTAAAATACTACTGTACTTTCTCAATATTGTAAATACATTTTTAAACCTGAGATGATTAAAAAAACGCTACCATGGATACAAAAGTAAAAAATAGGGCAGCATTATACAGCATGGTGTGCCGTTCAAAAAGAGAGCACACTGTACCTACATGACCTGACATATATTGTTTAGATTTAAAGAAATTAATGTTTAAATTTGACTTAAAGACTAACCCAATAATTTACGGTATTATTTTAGTTAGTGTTCATTGCTTTTTCAGTTTAATAAATATGTTTAAATAAAAAACTGTATTTCATTATTCAGTGATCATTTCTTATTTGTGTTGTCTCTTTTTTAACTACTAATCCAGGTTTACAGAATTCAGTAAGTAAATACTCCCTCATAATACTCTTGTACGCAGAGCTGACACCCATAGTTTATGTTCAATTTGCTTGGTAATAAACTTCAGTCATCGTTGCAGCTGGTATGGCCCTTTTTCTTTTAACAACTGGCTTCAAAAGTAATCCATTTAAAAACACTGGACAGTGGTTTATGGTATTCCCCACTTCAAACAACTTTCATACATGCAGATTACAAATGAAAGGCGGTTATGTGTCCCTTTGCAGACACTGACTCATCCCGCTAGAGTAAAAAGGTAAACAACTAAAGTCAACACAAAAACACAGCTTTCACGCAGACAGAAAGTTACAACACGGAGTAAAATGCAAGTGACATTTAAATGCGACAGTGTGGAAAAACTGAGTGTGTGAGCTGGAAAGGGTACGTAGATCCCGGACTGAAAGCGTGGGAAGGGTTAACATGTACAAGGATGTGAGAGCTGCGTGGGTGAGGACGTATGAAAGGTCAAAGTAGTTACGGTAAATACATTATGTGTCATAGGTAATCGAACCTCTGTGTCGTCTCCTTCGTATGCCTCGTTGCCGTCTCCGCTCCCCTCGTTACTGTCCTCTCCTTCCTCCCCCATTTCTCCATCGTCTTCCTCCTCATCCTCTTCATCTTCCTCCTCCTCCTCTTCAGCACCCTCTGAAACATCAAATACCATCATATAGATAACCATTCATACAGTCACAAAACAAACATGGCATTCTGATACATCAGCTTCTGTTTTTACGACCAACTTGTCAGTGTCAGTGCATTCGTTTCTTTTGTTGCTATAGTTTTTGACCTGAGTGCAATGGAGCTGTTTTTTTGACTCTGTGACCATGATAACTGTCACTAACACAACTCATGGATAACGTTGAGTGAGTGGATAACACACATGCCTCTTCTGTAGTTTTATGGACTATCCAGTGTAGGTCACCATATTGGAATGTTGTTTTGCCCTCTAGCGCTCAGTGCCAGTCACGTGACTGACAACTGCGAATTGCTGCTTGTAATGTTCTACATTGGAATGAACAAACATTTTCAATGTGTTCCATTTTCTGTATACCAATCCTGCAGAGAGCCCTGCTGGTCTCAAACGCACCATCCTCACCTCTCTTGGCGTCTCCATGCTGCTCTCTTTGTTGCTCTCTCTCGCTTTTCTTCACAAGCGTCTGCACAGCACACAGCACTGTGTTGATGTTGGCCTCCAGCTCTGCAGAGAACTCCGTGCAGAAGGCAGGCAGGTTATCTGTTGGGGAAATGAGGAGAGGAACTGTAGAACCAAATGTGATTTCATCCTATTATACAAGTTCAATTCAATTCAATT